AATTAAAATAATGTATGTACAAAGAATTATGCGGGATGCTTATATCATAAAATTAACGCACTTGGAAGGTTCAGCCGGGAAAAATATTTGTGCTTTCGTCATGAGACGTTTTATAGCCTGAATGAATTTCCGTTGTACTTCGTCATTCAGTACATGCGCAACATTTTTGGCGTGAATTTTCTCCTGTGCAGTTCGCGAATGTATACCGTGATTAGTGACACCCAATGGCCAAGGAGCATTGCCTATTGCTAACTCTAAATAAGCGTCATTAGCCTAAAAAATAGAAAGAGATGGGTCAATATTTCTGATTGCCTCACGAATATAAAACAATGAAACTATCAAATTGATCAGAGTAGTCAATATAGTAAAATATTACAAAAAGGTATGTATAAAAACTTGGTTCTGAAAAATCCCTTCAAAAAATGTTGGACTACCTTTCATTTCTTTCGAAGAGGCGAGTAGAAGAGATTAGTAAGTTGGTCTCACCGGAAGCTGTAGAGGGATCACCATGGAGCTGTGATTATAGATGTGTGCGAATAGATTCTCGGTGCACCGCCCTGCGACCCCAATGAGTCTTTGCCGAGCTTTCGTCCGTCACGTGACGGACATCTTTGGAGCTCAGCGAGGATTTGTTGGAGTCGCAGGGCGGTGCGCCAAGAACCTATTCGCACAAATCTACAATCATAGCTCCAAGATAATCCCTCTACAACTTCCGGTGATACCAATTTATAAATTCATTACACTCGCCTCTCCGAACGAAATGAAATGTACTCCTACATTACGAACTAGTAATAAAAAAAATTGAAGATAATAAAGTCAAAGGCTAGAATCTCAAATGAATATGCACTGAGCTGTTGAATAGTCTCCTCTTGATGAAGGGATTAAAGTTTTGTATCTATATCACCAATAATTTCACTCAACATACAATGATTTAGATGTACGCCGAGATAATGCAAATTAAAATATATCTTTATTTGAATTAGAATGCCTTAGTCTTGTCCGAGCCATCTATAAGCCCTTGGCTATTCATTGGGATAGATAATTAAGCTAAAGCCGAGCGCAATCCAAAATGAGATAATAATATAGAAATTACGGCTTGGAAAGAATAGAGTAGATAAACCCTACTCTTGACAGAACAGGTATAGACAAAGGAATAGAGGAGCTTCATTCTTAGACTAGTTAACCCATAAAATTAATGCAGTCCGAAATCCACTGATGATTGCTAAATTACTACAACTGAGTCTGATTCGTGCTAAGTATCTTGTTATTTAAAGCAGCTATCATCTGACAGAA